AGGTGGTTTATTTAACTATTATACATTTTTTGAGGGTGGTTAATGGAGGTGTTCCAAAACGTGACATTAATTTCTTGACAACCTAATAGGTTTTCACAATTCAAATTATTGTTACAATTTAAATGGGAATACATTAAATATTGTGGTTGATAAAAAAGATCTTGGTGCTGTGATTGATGATTTACTTAAGTCATCTAAACAGTGTGGCTAGCAATAGGGTTAATAGGATTCTAAAAATATTATAATAAAATAATATTATAATTAAAATATTATATTATAAAAATATTAAATATAAGACAAGGGATATTATTGTTTCATTGTATAAGTCACTTGTAAGGCCTCATTTCGAGTATTGTGTACAGTGTTAGGCTCCCTTTCTGAAGAAGGACATTGAATTGTTAGAGAAGGTTCAGAGAAGAGCCACTAGGATGATACCTGGGATGGTGGGATAGTCTTATAAGGAGAGACTAAAATCTTTAAACTTGTTTTCTTTGAAGAGGAGGAGGGTCAGATGGGATTTGATTGAGGTGTTTAAGGTTATTAATGGCATTCATAATATAAATCCATCAAACAATAGGACAAGTGGTCATAAGTTCAAATTTTGGTAGCATAAAGACTTGTCTGCAGTTTAGAAAGTATACTTTAAAAACAGGGAAGTTGGCCTTTGGAATGAGCTGCCTTCAAGAGTGGTGGAGGCAGAAAATTTAAACAAGTTCAAGAAAATATTGGATGAATACGTGAGTAGTAAAGGGTGGTTATAGTTGGGAGCTGGAAGGAACATCCTTGATGGGCTAATAAGCTCCTTTTTGTCCTTTTAACATTTTATGAAATTTATGAAAAAGGAAATTAAGAAATAACCCTATTCAATTAGGGTCATACTTATAGCACAAACATCTTTGAATACATATTGCATAATTTAATGCCCCAGTAAAGAAAACTAGTTTCTTTTAATATTAGAGAAACAAAACTGTAAAGGATAAACAAAAACATTAGATAGAAAAATAGAGTATTATGCCATTCAACTGCATGTAAGCTATTATTAAAGATACCTTTGAAACACTAAAGCAAATAGGCAATCAATCTGATAATACATCATCTAGATATTTCTCAGAAAAAATCATTGAAACATGTTTTGTAATAATATTACTTTTAAGTATTCATAAAAGTTTATCATAAATACTTTTTTTCCCTAAGTATGTTCAAGTGCACAATACAAGTTTTTAGATTTCTAACACAGATTTGGCTTTCTCTCTTATTAATGTTTTCTTCTCAAGTCTGGGTGTCAGAAAATAAAAAACTTTCTCTAATTGATAGTTCGTGATCCTGAAATCAGAATTTAAAAATCAGTGAGGGAAATGTGATAACTGTTGTTTTCTATTACCATGGTGTTTATGTTTTTCATAAAAATATGTATTGAATTCATTTTAGTTCTATCATAATAACCACTGAATAGTTTGTTTTCCAAGTACAACAAATATTTCTGTAGGTTAATTGGCAAAATAAAAAAAACTTATTCTCTTCACTGTGAAAATTCAAATTCAAAGCAAATGATAAACCTACTTTTAACAGCCATGTAAGGACAGAATCACGATAGGGTACAAATTTATCTTTTGCCTTTCCTGATGATTGGTCAGCTAATTTGGACATGACCAGGCCTAATGTTGTGAGGGATCTAAAAAAAATGGTTAAACCTATAATGAGATATGTTATTCCTATGATCACAACTGAAACAAGATATTGTTTTTCCTTTTAAAACATTACTTGCCTATTGTATTTTTTCAAATGAAGAAACAAATATAGACCACTTTTTTAAATTTATACTGTAGTCATAATCTATACACATTTCTAATTGTACAAATCATAAAGTGAAAATCATCTGATGTAATTTATACATACAATGCTGGAAATATCAGAAAAAATACTAATTAAAAATAATAAGTTATAAGTATTAAAATATATATCTATATATATTATATCAACATCTTACATGTTACATCTCCAGACTGAATTGTATAGTTTATGAGTCAGTATTGTTATATATCCTTATGATGTGAAACTACATTTGTGGCATAGTTTGTAAAATTTTACAATGATTTCTAAGTTATAACAAATAATTTCATATACAGTCAATATTAAGATTCAACTTAGGAAAAGAAACACACTGGAAGTCAAATATTAGTTGAAAACCAGCCAGTTTTTCAATAATAATTTTTTTAATTAACATAAAATATTTAGACAAAACAGATATATTACTGTACTCAAAATCATCATCAAGAAACAACCAGTAATTACTCCTCACCCAAACATCTTTTTTTTTCAAACTCCAGTATGTGCTAATAGTTGATAACCTAAATCTAAAATTACATGAACAGCAAAACAACATAAATTTGCTAATTTCATATTTTATATGTTATATCTTAAGTAAACAACAAATTGCTGAATATAAACGATTTCTACATTATTAATTTAAACATAAAACATTACAATCAGAATATCTAAAACTTACTTATTAATATTTGACCCTTCTTTCAATCTTTCCCCTACAGCCCCAGACTTTACTGCTCTCTCACTCCCAGCTAAGTCAACTAAGCTCATTTTGGACACCTTTTCTCCGGTAATCTGATAACATATTTCTTATTTAAATTCACAAAATGGTTAAATTAGCTACACAATAATTAAATTGAGTTTTAATCCACCAGTTCAATATTTAGTGAGCAAGTTTATTTAATTCTTAAATAGGAATTAGCCTCTCCAAAAGAGGAGTTGAAAAAATGGTTGATGAACACAGAAATAAAAAATTCAACTAATTATGTTTTACTGCTGCTAGAAAATTATGAAATGTTTTTGCAACACTAAACAAAGCAATAATATAGAAGAGAATACCTTAAATTTCAGACATTTTAAATTGAAGTTTTTAAAAAGTAAATATATTGTGTTGAATAGCTATAAATGAAATACTACTACTAAACAGTATTCTAATTTTTGATTTAGTCATTGCAACTATAGTTAATAAAGAATAATAACTTTTGTTTGCCACTGGTAATCTCTCATATTGGATTTGAATAACTGGCTTCTACCGATTTCTTCTTTTGATATATATTAATCAATGAAATTACATTTACCTCTCCATAAACATGTAAGCAAAGATACAAAAATCAGTCCAATGTTTCCCAGAACAAACTCACCCCAGACTGAATATCAGTCAATAAACAAGTCAGAGTAATGTTAAATACAGCATGAGATCGACTAGATTCACTATTCATATTTGTTGCAGCCACTGTTCTAGACTTGTTTCCTTCTGTCATTAAGCTGCTGATGTCCTAGTGAAAAAAATAATTATCAACATTATTATCAAATCACAATGGCATTAACAAAACAAAATTCCAACTTTAACCAAACATGCAAACACTTCCATTCCCTTATTTGGTTATTGCAATGAAAATATCAGTGTAATGTAGTAGCTTTAGCAAAAAAGGCAATACAAGTACTTAGAAAGGATCATAAAAAATAAAATAATTTGCTTTAAGCTACGTCTATTTCATGCTAGCCGAACATAATACTAATACCATAATCACACAAGAAACATTTTTGTGATTGATACATAAGCTCTGAAAAAAACAAGAAATTAGCATCTTACAAACTATTAATTCATAATTTTTCAACTATAGGACATTTTCCACATTAGGTTGAACCAATTAATAGCTCTTTAGGTAAAGTAAGCAGTATCAGCTATGAGTGAATTAGAGATGGTCACATTATTCTCCATGTGTATGATGTTTCTCTGTTATTTCTGTAACACCAATACTTTTACACATTTTAAGAAAAATATCTTTGACTTAATTTGTTAAATAATAAGAATAATAAATTATTTTAAAAAAAGGTTTCAAAATCTAAACCAATCAGATCAGGTTTTGAAAAAAAAAAGAAACAAATTTGGACCCCACAAAGTACATTTATACAAAAGCTACTCTTAAATGCTTGTGCATTTAATATGCCAGTTTGATTTGGCAGAACGAAAAGAAGTTGTTGTTACATTTGTTTACCTGATAGGACGAGACTGCTAAGGTAGAAAGTCCATCCACATATGGACCAAGGATATTATGTTCCCTCACTTTCAGGCTCTGTCTTGTCCTAAGTATTCATAAAAAAACATCAGTTCATTGTCAGAAAGTGCAGTTTTTTATCAAATACATTTTATTAATTCTAGCTGAGTTAACTCTAAATTTGTTAGCTCGAAGTTTCTGCAATGCTTTCTTTCAAATATATTGAATTTTTAAAAATTTGTATATTAATTTTGTCCGATTTCACATAAAAAAGTTTTTAATTATCATATACTATTAACCCCTTCCAGACAGGTCAAGGGTGAAAGGTCATGTCATCTCATTTGTTGACTTGCATTCAAAATGTTATTGAACTAGTATTTCATGAATTTATACCAGTAACTTTGGTATCAAACTGAAGATTCTAATTCAACTTTTAGTACTATATATTACTTGATTTTGTAATTTAAAAGCAAATATTATAAATTAGAAACTCAAATTACCAATACTGACAAGCTAGAATATATAATGAGAGCTTCTTATCTTTTCAGTTTGCTAAGATATT